TTCCCCTTCCTTCACTATCTAAGAAAGCGGCGGTGTTATTCCCATCTTTCTCGATGCCCCTCATGTGTGAAGTCATGCAGGATTCCTTTGTGGACATACCTGCCGTTGCATCTGCAAATCTACTGACAGATTAAAGAGTCTTGGATGAATTGATCACTGGCATTTTGTTTCAGACAAATGCTTGCACTACTACTCTTCAGCTTTGGATTGAAAACGTGATTTTTGTCACTCTGTGCGGAAGATCAAATGAGAGCTAAGTGTCCATGGCACAGGCGGAATACAACAGCTATAGAATGCATTGTCAAGGGGAAGCGCACAATGGTATATGTCACTATCTGTCTGGCGTGAGCACTAGATCCTGTTTGTCTCCGCTGCTCCTGGCCAAGCCGTAGTCTCTGTTGTTCCACTTGTTTTGTTGAGGATATCACAAGCCCTCCTCTCACCCTACCTTCAATATTCCCCGTTTGACCAAATTCTAAAAGGAATTACTTTTACTAATCATGCACTCGGGGATCTTAAATAGCCTGATATATCGCTACATTTGATTCTACATTGCTGAAATGGGTGTCAAGTCAGCTGCTAATACAGAATAAAGCAGAATTTTTCACTGCAGGGATATATCTGGGGAGTATCTAACCTGAATTAACCTACTAATGAGTATTTACCAAAAAAAAAAAAAAAAAAAAAAGACAAAGACATATGCGTGGGAAGAAAGCAGGGTAAGAGAGAAGGCGGAGAAAACAAAGGAAAAGTGTGCAAGTAGAGTGTATTAACTTGAGGTTGCTGAATTTAAACTGCAGCCGGGACTTAAACATTGGCTGAAAAAAACGAGCAACCTACGGTTAAAACACTTCTCTATCCCCACTGACAGAGCAGCCAATAAGCCGGTGGCAGTACATGGATCAGGTGGCCCACAGAAAGCTTAAGCACCCCAGAGAAATCTCCCACGTTGTCAGTTTTGCCCTCCTTGAGGAAAACAATCGAACAAAGGCTTCTAGAATGCAGTGCCTAAAAATAATTATATAACCCCTTATTTTCACAAAAGACAATTGCCCCGATAAATAGCTGTATTTTGTTGGTCTGAAATTGAAACATAAGCAGAAACGGGTTTTATTCTATTTGACACTTTTGACCTGGATATGTTGGGCACCCAGAAGCTTTGCCACTGTGCTTTAGAAAGTTTTTAAAAAGATCTTCAGAAAAGCACTTACGTGCTTCAGTGGTGACATATTAAAGAAAAATTTGCTAAAATTAATGAGAACACTCACTGCAATGTTAAGAAGGAAAAATTATTGTCCTCAATTCAAGAGAGCTCAAGATAGAACTTGAGTTTTCCCATGACTTGGCTCCCCTCCACACAGAAAATCTCTGCCTTAGTTATTTGTGTTATGCTTGACACATCTCACATACAAAGGTATGGCTTGAAACTCACACGATACAGAGCTGACATCCATATATTCAAGAATGCCTTTTGCTGGTGCTACCACCTGCCTAAATATCAGTATGTACAGATGTCAACAGTGAAATGTCTGATTTTCTGAGTCACACAGGGATTGTTTTAGAACATAACCACTGCCATTACAGACAGCTAGGCTGGCTCACAGGGACTGTCTCCAGCATACTCTCTGAACCGTTGCAGCAATGGCAAGCCTAAAACTAGTTTGGAGAAAAGCAGCAAATACGTAGTCCTAGAGCTTTAAAATGCTATTGATACTTCAGACTATCATCCTCCCAAAATAACTGGATTCAACAGAACAATATTCTATTAAGTCCCTTTTTATGGGTTTCTTCTGTGTTAGGCTACCAATTTACCTGTTACACCACCGACAGTGTCCAGCTTGATATGAAAACAAGGGCGGACTATGAATGATACCAAAGAGGATATTCCTAGTTACACTGGTTTTGTATCAAACCATCACGTACCTCAAAAGGTCAGGATGAAACTGTCTATTGCCTGGCCAAAGCTACAACACTATATGATAACGTTGGTGTAAATCTAAAAGATACTGAGATGCTTTGCAGATTTTTACTGGCTCACCGTATCTTGGGAGAAATCTATCAAACCCAGGAGTTGGAAATCTGAACGGATATGCAAGATATAATGCTCGTACTGTCTAATTCATTCAGAGTTTTTCAGAAGTGTTCCTGTCAGTCTCCTAAGACACTTTTTTCCTCCTGCAAACTGTAATTTTTTGGCAAATATTCTTCCCCTGTATTTCTTATCCTAGTCTTGAATTGGAAAGATTCTACATATGCCCATATGAAGATAAAAACTGTAATTTTGCAACAGTATGTATAATCTCAACACACAAAAGTAGTTTTTCTCTCTATTCATTCTACAGAATCAATGTGACTGTGTTCAATCTAGTTTATATAAGATCTTTTTCCCATTCTTGAGTTATTTTGGTAGACCATGCACTATTATAAAGTTCTTCGCACCCAGGCAATGAGACCAAGCACTGATTTGAAGTAGATGAATGGAGCAATTTAAAGATGTATAATTGCTGCAGGAAAGGAGGGAAAGGAAAATGTACTAAAATACTCACTTCGACGAATCTATGAAGTATATTACAAGAGCACCAATACTAAGAGCGAAGACTAAGACAACCTACAAAAGAAAAGAAAAGAGTCATTATTTAACACTGTTAAAGTGAAACATTTATTCTTTTACACACAAAAAAGACAGGAAAAATAAATCATAAACTAGTATTTTTTTATTTCAGCTGTCGTTTTCTTTAGAAAGCTACTCCTACTTGAATTTCAAACACTATATATTACCATAGAATGCTTTCTTGCACTGAAAAAGAGACACAAACAAGCTGAGTCCTAGCTCAGGGAAACCCAGTATACAGTTAGGGCCTAGATCCTAAGCTCTGCTAAACTATATTCTTTCATTTCAAATGGCAAGCAATCCTACTGCATGGCATTCAAATCACACTATAGCTTTATCAGACCTATCCTTCAGGACGGCAGTAAGTTTCTGCTCATTGGTAGGCAAACCAAGAGTGATGACAGATTAAACTGAATTTCCATTTATATACGTGGTCATGAAATCCATAGGATAAGCATAAGGCTATGTGAAAACATGTAGTTACTCTGCATGACCGTCCACTGAGACGATAGTTACCTTTCACACAGGCTAAAAGAATAGCTTAATGCAGCATGTCCTGATACAATGAATACATACCCTGGGCACCTTGTAGTCCCCATGTTTTTCCCCCTTTAAATCTGTTAAAGTTGTCAAACCAAATCATTTTGTTAGGTCTAGCATCCAGCCCTTATTAACAGGGTAGAACTTGCTTTTCTGGCTAGCGCCGCAGAAGCTGGATTAATCACATCTCCGTCTGTCTCTAATTTCTTTTTTCTGAACATAAAGCCAATACAATTGTCTGTTCTACTGACTCCCAAAGATTCTCCAACATTGTGGGAAGATTTAGTTTCACATCCTACCCAAAGTAGGTCTGCATCTACACAGGACAGCATCACTGAAATTTCTGCACTCAAATTTTGGCTTGAGGAATCGCGAAGTACACAATAGTTCATGTACCCATTGCAACTTAGATTTCTGATATCCTCACTCCAGGTTTCGGTCTCCTGAACAATGCCATCCACTGGGTAATCTGGATTCTGAAAACATGAACCCACTAAGCTATTTTTTGTATCTTAGAATGCAATTCTTCTGGAAGAAATCAGAAAAGATTCCTGTCTGCTGCGCTAAGGATGGCAAACAGATGGAAAATGATGTCTCGTGCAACTCATCTGATCTGCTGGTCTACAGAATCAAAACAAGATGTCCCTTAGTTTTCTGGCAGGCACGTCTCAAGTAGCTACTTAGAAGTAACGTCCCTTAAAATAAACCCAGAGAGTCGATCACTCAGGATTGGGTATAGCAGGGTACTAAGGGGACATGCAGCTCCTCAAACTGCCAGTTAAAGTACAACTGCTTAGGTCAGAAGTGGCTAAAATTTAAGACGCTATCTAAATCTCAACTGCTCAAGCAACAGACGAGCACCGAAAGAAAAATTTCTTCATTCAACATAGGCTTCAGACCTTTTTCTGAAGCTGCCGTTTTAGGAAGGAGCCTGACAGTCATAGTGCAAGCCACACAAGGGAACGCGCAATGTGTTAATTCTAAGTAGACTTACTGAAACAACAATGTAGAAGGTTCTCTACTCTCAGCTATCACTCAATGCTGTAATGGCAGTATCTGAAGCAAGGTATAATTATAATTATATAATCAAACTCTGGTGCTGCACAGGGCCAAAACAAACATGCACGTATTTTCCAATAAAAGAAAGAAACATTAATTTCTTAATAGTAAGTAATCACTACAACTTGTTGGAAATATTCTATTCAACTGAAAGTTTAAATTAATTTTTCATTCCTTTTAGATCTTGCTGACCATCACTTTTTTCCTTGTGAATGTCTGAGAAAGAGTATTTTACCTGAGTACAAGTACCTGTTATCTTATCTGATGCATTATCACCCAAATCAGTGAGATCTGTCAGTCCAATTCAAGGACTGAAGCATGAAACTCTTCAAATAACATTTTTACTACCTAAGTCTAATGTAATGGTAACATCTAGAGTTTGAATCTTCTTTCATTGAACTACATTATTGATCAGATGCATGCAGGTGTTGCAAGGTGAAATAAGCTATTAAATCCGTATCAATTGGTAAGAATCTGTGCTGGTTTTGGCTGGGATGGAGTTAATTTTCTTTCCAGTAGCTGGTATGGGGCTGTGGTTTGGGTTTGTGCTGGAAACGGCGCTGATAACACAGGGATGTTTTCGTTACTGCTGAGCAGTGCTGACACAGGGTCAAGGCCTTTTCTGCCTCTCACCCCACCCCACCAGCGAGCAGGCTGGGGGAGCACAAGAAGTTGGGAGGGGACACAGCCGGGACAGCTGACCCCAACTGACCCAAGGGATATCCCACACCATATGAC